ATTATGGAACTTTTAAATTTAGGCGCCTATAATGTCATCTTAAGATCCAAGTGAGCATTCTGTGCATGGATCTGAACATGCCAACGCTCACCATAATGAATACCATGTTCCGAATCCGTTCATACAACAGATGACTGGACTGTTCCAACAAATCGTTCAAAATGTGATCCCGACTAATAACGGAGATGCACGGGAGTCCATTACGATCGAGAAGCTAAAGAAGAATGGTGCCTCTATTTTCTTTGGAAAAAGGGGGGATACTCCAGAAATTGCCGAATTTTGGCTTGAGCAAACTGCTTGAGTCTTAGAAGACTTACAGGTGCCGATAGTCGATCACCCACGACATGCTATTAGTTTGCTGCAACATGGAGCCTCCGATTGGTGGAAATCAGTACTTCTCAGACCTGATCTATCGAGACCCGCGACGTGGGACTACTTCCAGGAATGCTTCATAGATCAATTTGTCCCGGCCTGGTACCAAGAAGAACGAAAACAGCAGTTTATGGATCTGACACAAGGATCCATGACGGTGGCAGAGTATGCATATGAATTCCTTCGCCTGAGCAAGTATGCTCTCGATATGGTAAGAATGGAAGCTGGCAAGTGATGAAAACAGTTAGCAACACAAGAGGGGGGGTGAATTGTGTGTGTGTGGAACCGTGGCAGTTCTAGTGCGGGGTAAAGGGATATACGAAATAGTAAAGTGCTCAAGGATTTAACGAGGAAAAATCCCTTGGCTCAAAGGGATTAAAAAACCTCGACCTCCCTCGGAGGAATTTTAACAACTTCACTAAAAAGCCTTTGATGATTACAAGGGAAACTCTCCTAGTCTACCCTTGAGCCACCCCAACTCTATCCTCTCTAGGAAGAGTTATGCTTCTCTACCTTGCGGGTAGAGAGCCTCTCAGCTTTACAACAAAGCTCTCACACATACAAACCAACCTGAGGAGGCTACTCTTAGCCAATCCTCAAAACCCCATTACAATATGAAGAAGGGAAAGAAGAAACTATATCTAGAACTCCGTATGAGCAGTTTCAGGCAAATTGTGCTTGATATATTCTTGAGTGTATCTCGGTGTATTTCTTGCTGCCAGCCTTACTACTTCTCTTTTGCCCCTTTGCTCTTTATAGGCAGTCTTGAAGAGAATCCGTTGGAGCCCCTTTCCTTAAAGTTGATTCTTGCCTTGATATAATTCAAAAAACCTTCCATCTTGATACACAAGTCAAACTAGCATGTATAGTTTTATAAGACAAGAAGTAATTGATGTTGTGGGTCAAGGCAATAATTTATTATCTCACCATATACACACATACGGATTATGCTAGTAAATATTCCTTAGCACATATAAATTTATTCGAATCATTTATTCAAAGGAAGCTTTCCTTTAATAATAATTCATGCAACGTTGCTTTTTTGAAAAGTCAATTGCCTTTGTTGCTAATTAAGGAGCCAGTTAAAAGAGAAGATTCAATTTACTTCAAATCAAGCTACGGTCACTTCCATTAAGATCAATTACAAAAGGTAATATTTTCTTGCAAGCCATATTCAAATAATGCCATAGAATCATGCAATTATTCTAAAGTAACTTTCCTTAAACAAATATTCATTTAATATTTCCACCAAGGATAACATTTTCAAACCAAAGCAAGTTACGTATATTTTGTAGCAATGAAAAGATTTATGCAATCATTTGTAAGTCAAGCTACTTTAATGACTAAATATAAACCATGCACTCATAATATAGCAAGCAAGGATATTTTCCATAAAGTGATAGGCTATACTAATAAGTGGATGTCTAATCAAATATGGAAAGAGAATAAACACTCAAATATGCACCCATATGCAAATTACGTATATCTATTTTATGGTCATGCAAAAATGCACTCATATTACTTTCCATAAAGCATATCTAACAATACATTCCCCAAAATATCCAATCAATTATGGAAAGATATTAATGCATGTAAAATATCATACGTTGAAAGACATGCATATGCAGTTTACGGAACAGGAGCGGTTCTGTACGTCGTTCTACCTACATGGTTAGTCATCAACAAAACCACATACTCAACAACAAGTGCCGGAAATTTGAGTATGGGCTTAATGAGGAAATCGCTGGGCAGGTGGTCACCTTACGCCACGTTAGCTTCACCTTGCTTGTGGGGGCCGCTCAAAGTTTTGAAGGGTGGCGCAGAAGAAAGACCAGCAGGGGGACATTTTCTTACTCAGCACCGACAATGAACTCGATGGGGAAGAGACATGAAAGTGGAAAGGGAAAATCTCAGAGTCGATATAATGAATCATCTCATGCCAAGTCCACGTCTGGTAGCAACAAACCTCGACCACCGGTTTCTCAGGTCAAAAGTGTCCCGCTATGCTCGTTTTGTGGCAAACACCATGTCGGTGAATGTAGAAGAGCCTTTGGAGCTTGTTTTCGTTATGGTCAAAAGGGGCACATGCTCCGAGAATGCCCTTTGCTTGTCACAGGTGATGCATCTTCAGCTCCAATCCGCCCCACTCAGCCCCCACAGATGAGCCAACAAACTCGTACCCAAGGCAATGCTGGGAGCAACTCTGATACGGTAAACAGGCCTACACAGGGTCATCCCCAGGCTCGGACTTATGCCATGCAGGCGAGAGAAGAGAAACCAGAGAATAATGTCATTATTGGTATGTTCACTCTTTTCAACACTGATATATCTGCTTTAATTGATCCTGGTTCCACACATTCCTATATATGTGTCCGCCCACCTTGTTTAGATGAATATCCAAAAGAACATCTTGACATCCAAATGGAGGTGTCCACACCTTTAGGGAGAAGTATTATTGTTAACCAAATATACCGACACTGTCCTTTAAAGGTTCAAGGGAAACAATTTAATGCAGATCTCATTGAATTACCCTATCGAGAATTTGATGTAATTCTTGGTATGGATTGGCTCTCTAAGCATAAAGCTATAGTGAATTGCCAAGACAAAACATTACTACTTCACACTGAGCAGGGCGATACTATTCTTGTTCCCGGAGAATTATTTCCGAAGCCACCTCAACTCATTTCTATGATGCAATGCTAAAAGGCTTATGCGTAAGAAATGTCAATTAGTACATGACATCCCTATTGTACAAGATTTTCCAGATGTCTTTCCTGATGAATTACCAAGTTTACCACCATCTCGAGAAGTGGAATTTAATATTGGTAGTTCGTGGTACCACTCCCATTTCAGCAACTCCTTATCGAATGACTCCCGCTGAAATGAAAGAATTAAAGGCACAACTTCAAGATCTCTTGGATAAGGGATTCATCCAACCTAGTGTGTCTCCATGGGGCGCACCCGTTCTATTCGTGAACAAAAAGGATGGTTCCATGAGGCTATGCATCGATTATCGGCAGCTAAACAAAGTGACTGTGAAAAATCGTTACCCGTTGCCGAGGATCGATGATCTGTTTGACCAACTCAAGGGAGCCAAAGTGTTCTAAAAAATTGATCTTCGTTCGAGATATCATCAGCTGTCTGTGAAAAAGGAAGATGTACCAAAAACTGCATTTAGAACAAGATAAGGACACTATGAGTTTTTGGTTATGCCTTTTGGGTTAACCAATGCTCCTGCCGCATTCATGGAAATAATGAACAGAGTATTCAAACCCCTTATAGACCAAATTGTGGTTGTATTTATTGATGATGTTCTGGTCTATTCAAATTATGAGGAGGAGCACAAGGAACATCTTAAGATTGTGTTAGAAACACTACAAAAGTACAAACTTTATGCCAAGTTTTTGAAGTGTGAATTTTGGCTTGATCAAGTAACTTTCTTGGGTCACGTCATTTCAGCAGATGTCATAAGAGTTGATCCCACGAAAATTCAAGCCATTACAAATTGGAGACCACCTCGAACTGTGACGGAGGTTCGAAGTTTCCTGGGATTAGCAGGTTACTATCGTCGCTTTGTTAAAGGCTTTTCCTTGATAGCTTCACCTCTCCATAAACTCTTGAAGAAGAATAAACATTTTGAATGGACACCATCTTGCCAAGAGAGTTTTGATAAAATAAAGAAGGTTCTCACTGAAGCTCCAGTGCGAGTCCAACCTGTAACAGGTAAAGACTTCACCGTGTATAGTGATGCTTCTCTTAATGGCCTAGGATGTGTTCTTATGCAAGAAGGAAAGGTGGTCGCGTATGCCTCAAGACAACTCAAAGAGAACGAGAAGAACTACCCCACACACGATCTGGAGTTAGCCGCTATCGTCTTTGTTTTAAAGATATGGAGACATTGTCTTTATGGGGAAAGGTGTTACATCTTTACCGATCACAAAACTCTGAAATATCTTCTGACGCAAAAGGAGCTAAATTTGAGGCAAAGACGTTGGTTAGAATTAATCAAAGATTACGATTGTGTAATCGATTATCATCCAGGGAAAGCTAACGTTGTGGCAGATGCTTTGAGTCGGAAAACTCTAGCTGAATTACATCTCAAACCTTCACTTAAAGAAGAAATCATAACAGCTCAAAAATCTGATGACCAGTGCCTTCAAATAGCGGAGTCAATTTCTAAAGGGGAGAAACCAGATTTCACTAACACTACTAGAATTTTCCTTATTTGCTGCTACCCATTTGCTGCGGTTCTTAGTTAAAACGCAGCAAATAGGAAAAATGTATGAGTATTTGCTGCGGTTCTACAAAGACCGCAACAAAAAGTTGAAAATGTTGTTATAATAATGTAATCCTCGACATTTTCCCTTTAAGTATTCAAATACTTGGTTATGTATTTCTCTTATAAGTATTCAGTTATTTGGTTATTCTTTTCCATATTCCTCATTATTCTTCTTTATCTTGCCATGATTTATATAATCCATAGAGTTTGGTCGGTTTTCTCTTACTATTACATATAGGCGTTCATCATGTTTTTTTGTTGTTATTTTGGATTGTCAAGATTAGGTACAAGCAGGTCTTGAAATAGGAATAGAATCAAAGTCATAGGGAGAGAATGCAGACTTTGGATACTTTCAGCTGGTATTTTGCAATGTTCTTTACTTGGATACTTTTCGTTGCTACGGAGTATATATTTCACCAGTAAGGGTTTATTATCTTGATCTTAACTGAGTTTTTTTTAATTAAAAGCAATATGAAATGGTTGTTCACGATTTAAGTTCTTCCTTCTTTCTTTTGTTTTGTTTTTCTGTGCGCTTATTTGGTCATGCTAATTTTGTTATACTCTAACCCATAACATCTTTGTAGGATGATGCACACATCTTCTGTAGGGAGTCGTCACAGCTGAGCTCAGAAAGAAAACTTGGCTTCAATTTTGGAAGCTACAAAGTCACTTTATTTTTTCTGCTATTACAGGTGAAAGATGAAGTCAGGGAAGGATTAGAATTCATTGATCATGTCTACAAGACATTTGGGTTCGCATATGAGCTGAAGCTATCTACAGTATGTTTTTTCACTTGTCACAGTTTGTGGATTCCGATGTTTTGTTATACCCAAGAGAATATACCTCTAATTTTAATTGCAGAGACCGGAAAAATATCTTGGAGATGTGGCGACCTGGGATAAGCTATCTACTCTTTCAGTCTTTATGTTTCAACAATCAATCATGTTCGTTGATGGTTATTACAAAAAAAGTCCTTCTATAGTCTTGAAAGAAGAGAATCAGCTAGCAGGTATGCTCAATTTTAACTATGGCTTAGGTATACTCATATTCTCCTTTGGGGGTCTATTTTTTCTTTTTGGCTCTGTTTCAATTACAAATGTATTTAGTTGTTCTGTTTTTGTAGACCACCAGAGGCTCGTAGTAAAAATGATGATGGTTTGGAATTCTGCCATACTTTATCCCAATATGCCTTTTAATTCCGCCTTAGCTAGCTTGTACATACATACACTCCATTTATTGTACATAGTATAGGAGTGTTTGCGGTTGCTTACAAAAAGCGCTTTTCAGCTTTTGGCTTAAAAAAGCTAAACAGAGTGTTTTCAAATGGCAGCTTCTGCTTAATTAATCGCTTAAAAGTTAAAAGCTGGAAGCAGGTAGAAGGGTGCTTATTAGGTTTGCCAGCCTGTATGTTGTATATTGTTATCAGTCCATCCATGATTAATTTTCATTTTGGTTTTCTCTGAATACATTGTTCTATTTACTATATTTTTTTTAGACCAAACACCGAATCCCCGGTGTGGCTCAAGCTTGAGGGTCTTCCTTTTCATCTACTTGAGAAATCTGCTCTTTTTTTCAATAGCTCGCTTGGTTGGTACTCCCTTGAAAATGGACATTTCCGTATTTAAAAGGTCTCGGCCTTCAACTGCCAGGGTTTGCGTTGAGGTTGACATTTCATTAGAACTACCATCCAAACTGTGGATTGGTAATGGTTCCTCCAGATTTTCCCAAAATGTCATATATGAGGATTTGCCCCTCTATTGTTCATATTGTAGATTATTTGGCCATGATATAAAATCTTGCAAAGGAATGATTAAAACTGGACCCACAAGTGTTCTTGCTGCATTTCTGATTTTTTTTCAACTTATATGCTTGCTATATTAACTTTTGTGTTCTTCATATGATCCCAATTTTAGAAAATGCATTGAGCTTTCTTAATCTTATTTTTTATTGATTATTTTGCCGCTAGAATTTCCTCTGCAGATTAGAGCTTATTTAGGACAGTTTGACAAGAGTTTTTGTAATACATAGTTGTACTTTTACATGTGCTTGCAACACCGCCGCCCCACTGCTGCTATCCCTCTATGCCCCTCTTGCAGGCTCGCTGCAACGCAGTGTTCACTCATCCAGTTTGGTTTAGCCTAGGTAAGGTTGTTTATCTCTTATGTAAATGAGATCACGATGTTGGAAGTGGGAGCGACACTTAGTCTTTTACTTGGTCTAGGTTGGTCCTTCAGTATTATTTGTTTTTGGCTTGGTTTGATTTGGCGTGACTTTGCAAGAAAAATATAACTTGGCTGTTTAACTTGGGAAACCCCTCTCTATAAGAAAAAAATATTAAATAATTAGTTAAATAGCTTAGTAAAATTTTGTATTAAACATCATGTTCTAAATTTTTAAGTCTTATTCACATTATTGCTATTGTTGATTGTCTGATAGATATAATTTTTATGTGTGTATAGATACCTTCTATCTACATCGAGAAGCAATGGATGATGCCGATGAATTTTGCTACAATCCTGATGATTTTGAAGAGGATAAAAGAGATGAATTATATGAGATTCATTATGCGTTGGACAAATATGTATATTGTAAACTTCCGGTGATAATAAAATTTACAATGATGAAATCTGTATTGCATTCATTATTAATTTTGGAGATTAATTTTAAATTTTTGGAATGGTGATTTTGAGTTGTGCTAATAAAACATTGAGATTGTAGAAATGATTGTTTTTTTTGTAAACATTCTGAGCATTATAATTATCATTAAAAAAATCTGAGTATTATATTATAACAAAACAAACACAATATACCAATATTCAGAAGAGTATTTGTTGCGGTTCAAAAAGAGTATTTGCTGCGGTTTTGAACCGCAGCAATAAGTTAACTTCGTTTTTTTAATAGCTATTTGCTGCGGTTCGGAACCGCAGCAAATAGGTTTTCCTACTATTTGCTGCGCTGCCAATTGCTGCGGTTCAAAACCGCAGCAAATAGCTAAAAATGACCGCAGCAAATAGCCTTTTTTCTAGTAGTGTAGACAAAGTAATTGTGGATTGTGCTTCAAGGGACGTTTGGTTGTTCCTAATGGAGAGGTTAAACAAAGAATTCTTCAGGAGTCACATGAAACAAAGTACTCAATGCATCCGGGCATCAACAAGATGTATCGAGATTTGAAGAATCTATACTGGTGGTCCGGTATGAAACGTGATATCACTGAGTATACTTCTAAGTGTCTCACTTGCCAACAAGTTAAAGCTGAACATGTAAGGAATATATGTATTTAGATTTTGATGATGTTAAATAGATTAGAATTTTAAAATACCCCTTATAGAAATTTTGTATTAGAATTTTCTCTATGTAAGTATTAGCATAGTCGACGGGCCAGAGATCCTCTTGGTACTTCTAATCAGAGTTGCTAGGAGAACTGCTCTATGAGAGTTGCCAGCAGAGTTGCTCTTGTGATTAAGCTATGAGAGTTGCTAGCAGAGCTGATCTTCAGAGAAGTCATCAGAGTTGCTACCAGAGCTGCCCTCAGATAGCTACCAGAGTACCATCAGAACCCGGGTTGAGAACTGCTAATCAGAGAACTTCATCAGACTGCTGACACTTAGAAGATTTCACAGATGTCTTTCAACGGCCGTGTAACTAACGGGAAATTCCCTAACGGCTAGAAGATATTTCACGAAAGGAAAGCATTTAATGCTCATTTAATGAGCCTGATACGCTGTGGAGTAATTGCAGATGATTGACCGAGATTCCTGGAGGATATATTACAAAAATAGAAACCTGCCAACTTTGCGGGTCCAAGCGGTCAACTCCACAGTACGCACATTTAATGCAGTTGTCCCATCCTCCAACGGGAAGACAACCCTAGTATAAAAGATACACAACGAAGAACAACCGGATAACTCTTGCTCTCTACAATATTCAAAAAGCTCTCTTGAGATTCAAACCCCATATTCATCTGCAAGAAAAAGCTTACTTTGGGAAGAACATCTGACTCAAATCCTACAATCCCAACTAGAGCAAAGTTTCTCCAGTTCTTCAACAACTTGAAGCACTTCATCAACAAATCTATTGTAACGAAGCAAGTTGGAGAAAAACTCTGTTTTTTTTCAAACATCTTCTACAAAGAAGGGCGTCCAAGTAACTGGAGTGAAGTGGTGATACTTCAAGGAGTTCAGTGAAAGGACCAGTCTTAGAGGAAGCAAGGAAGTGCATCCTAGGAGACAACTAGACTTGACGAAGACGTGGAGAGCTTCTTAAGTTCTAGGGGCTAAGGCGTTGTAAACTGCTGTTTTTACAAGCTTAGCGGAACAGTGGACTAGAGGAACACGTTGTTCCTTGAACCACTATAAAAACTCCGGTGTCATTTACTTTAAGCACTTAATTTCTACACTTGAGATTCTAACTGCTTAACTCCCAAGAACTAGGACTCTGTGTTCAGCAGATCTTGTTCTAAGAGTTATCAGAAAGGCATTTGCCTTAGTATTTTTCCTGAGGCTACCCGGACAGAACTTTAATCCGCTGCCTGGTCCAGTTCTGCCATCAGAACTCGACCATCTCTGTCATCAGATTTAGACCACCTCTGATAAGTCATCTCTGACTTAGAAGAAAAAACTGAAAAATTAGAAAAGTCTATTCACCCCCCCCCCCCCCTCTAGACTGTTCCCTACTCAAACGGGACCAACAGAACATCAAGTTCCATCTGGATTGTTACAATCCATTACAATACCAGAATGGAAATGGGATCGGGTAACCATGGATTTTGTGGTGGGATTACCTTTGACACCAAGGAAGAATGACTCAGTTCGGGTAATTGTGGATCGACTTACCAAATCTGCTCATTTCATACCCATTTGAAGGGATTTTTCCTTAAACAAGTTGGCTGAATTGTATCTCCAAGAAATAGTCCGACTACATGGGATACCGCTATCCATCATATCCGATAGAGATCCAAGATTCACTTCTCAATTCTAGAAAAGCTTACAAGAGGCACTTGGTACGAAATTGAACTTTAGCACAACTTTTAATCCTCGGACAGATGGTCAATCTGAAAGAGTTATTCAAATTCTTGAGGATATGATGCGAGGGTGTGCTATTGAGTTCAAAGGAAGTTGGGAGAAATAGTTACCTCTTATCCTGCAAAGTCTTCTGTTCAAAAAACACTGTTGAACTTCAAAAACTCATGTTCTTCAAAAAACGGAGTATATTGAGAAATCTTCAAGTCTCATGAAACTGAAAATGAAAAGGCATTAAACGTTTGTTTCGATGATGCGATTTCAGCACTATCTTTATCTAAGTTTTTCGAGCAATAATAAGAAAAACCGATCAAAAATTCGAAGAATGTTGATAAACTAAAAAACATAGCATTTCTTCGATCGATCTTCACTCGTGGGCTCTGATACCATTTGTTGGTCCCTGCTTTATGAGATTAACTAACAGATATGGATGCACAAATGTGAAATAAAGATTGAGAGAAAGTTCATTATAATGTTCTTAAAGATTTCGAATGGATGAAACTCTCACTAAATATAAAAAAAAAAAACTGTTATGCGGCTACTGTATATGTGTGAAAAGTTAGGCGTTGTAAATCCCAAGCGCATATTTATATGCTCAGAGTGTACAACCTTCCTAAAAAGGTCTAACCTAGGGATTTGGGCCTTACACTTAAATGACCCTCATCCTTACAAGGCTATTCTATTTATTACAAATAAATACCATAAATGGTAAACCAAAACAAGACTAATTTTAACAACTGTATACATATATTGGTTATATGTATACAGATAATGCTGAGATAAACTGAGATAAAGATATCGTTGTTAAAATGAGCATTTCTTCACTTTAACAACGATCTCAGCACCTCCAAAGATCACCTTGATCTCCATCTACTTTTTCCTGCCATCCGGGCCGAGGGAGCTCTTAGGACGTTTATCAGCTGCTCGATAATCTACGTCTTTGGGCTCAGACACTCGCCGGTCATCACGGCACCAAGTACATGGCTTCTTGTATGGCTGTCTCTGGCCTTGCTGTGCTG